TCCAAGGTAGACACAAACAACATACCTTATACGGAACAAGATCCCACAACCCACTAGTGCCAATAGGCTGCCTAGGTATGGTCCCCAATCAGAGACAACGAGCGACAGCTGCCTCTGATTGGGAACCACACCGGCCAACATAGATCTAGACATACTAGATCCTACAACATAGAACAAACACAACAAGGAATATACACACCCTGACTCAACATATAAGCGTCCCCTGAGTCAGGGCGTGACAGTACCCCCCCCCAAAGGTGCGGACTCCGACCGCACAACATAAACATAACAGGGTAGGGGCCGGGTGGGCATTCCGCCTCGGAGGCGGATCCGTCTCAGGGCGTGAGGACCTCTCACACTCTTCGCCTCCCTGTTGCGCCCCTGGTCTGGTCTAGACCTCGGCGCGTTGCTTCCCCTCTCCTTCCTCCCACTATACTCCAAGCCCTGTCTGGACCCTGGTGTGGGAGACCACGAATCTGGAGAGGGGCTGACGTCTGGGTCTGGTCTGGAGCCGCTGACCGGAGCTGGACCGGGCACCGGTGGAGCGGACTGCTCAAGCTCCGGACTGGAGCCGCTGACCGGAGCTGGACTGGGCACCGGTGGAGCGGACTGCTCTGGCTCCGGAGTGGAGCAGCTGACCGGAGCTGAACTGGCACCGGTGGCACCGGTGGAACAGGCACGGGCCGTGCCGGACTGGACACACGCACCACTGGCTTGGTGCGAGGAGCAGGAACAGGCCGGGCCGGCGACGCGCACCACTGGCTTGGTGCGAGGGGCAGGAACAGGCCGGACTGGCGACGCGCACCACTGGCTTGGTGCGAGGGGCAGGAACAGGCCGGACCGGGCTGGCGACGCGCACCACTGGCTTGGTGCGAGGGACACGAACAGGCCGGACCGGGCTGGCGACGCGCACCACTGGCTTGGTGCGAGGGGCAGGAACAGGCCGGGCTGGCGACGCGCACCACTGGCTTGGTGCGAGGTGTTGGAACAGGCCGGACCGGGCTGGCGACGCGCACCACTGGCTTGGTGCGAGGGGCAGGAAAAGGCCGGACCGGGCTGGCGACGCGCACCACTTGTTTGGTGCGAGGGACAGGAACAGGCCGGGCCGGGCTGGCGACGCGCACCACTGTCCTGGTGCGAGGGGCAGGAACAGGCCGGGCCGGGCTGGCGACGCGCACCACTGGCTTGGTGCGAGGAGCAGGACTGGGTTCCTTTATTAACCCCTGCTCCTTCTGCTGCCTAACCAGCTCCTCTCGCCGTGCCTCTACACTTTCCTTGTCCCTTTTAGCCTCCTGTAGCACCTCCCTCTGACTGAATAACTCCTGCTCCCTCTGAACCAATAGCCCCCGTAACATGGTGGCCTCCTCTCCTAACCTGCAGACTCGCCCTTCCACGGCCTCCTACTGCCTCGTCATCCACCCCGTGTGCCCCCCCCCCAAAATGTTCTTGGGGTTGCCTCTCGGGTCTCCGTCGTCGGCACGGTTGGCACCGTATCTCCTCTCCTACCTGGGCATCAACCTTCATCGCCTCCCGATAACGGACGGCCTCCTCCTCAGTAATTCTCCCCCAACCGAGGAGGACATCTACTAAAGTTATCTCCTGTTGAATCCCCAGCGTTTGCTCCTTCTGGGCAAGCTGCTTGGTCCTTGTTTGGTGGGATCTTCTGTCACGTTCGTTCATAGACGGGACGGACCAAGGCGCAGCGTGATATGCATACATGTTTATTTAAACTTAATAAACACTTGACAAAACAATAAACAAAGTCCAAGGTAGACACAAACAACATACCTTGTACGGAACAAGATCCCACAACCCACTAGTGCCAATAGGCTGCCTAAGTATGGTCCCCAATCAGAGACAACGAGCGACAGCTGCCTCTGATTGGGAACCACACTGGCCAACATAGATCTAGACATACTAGATCCTACAACATAGAACAAACACAACAAGGAATATACACACCCTGACTCAACATATAAGCGTCCCCTGAGTCAGGGCGTGACAAACGTGGCCATGGCCTGTTACATAAAGCAGGCAGACATGCATCGAGGCATTCAGTTACTGTTCGATTGAATTTAGAATGGGCAAAACGAGTGACCTAAGCCACTTTCAGTGTGGTATGATCGTCGGTGCCAGGCGCGCCAGACCCAGTATCTCTGAAACGGCCGCACTCCTGGGCTTTTCACCACAACAGTGTCTAGGGTTTACCGAGAATGGTATGACAAACAAAAAACATCCAGTCAGAGGCAGTCCTGTCGGCGAAAACAACTCGTTGATGAGAGAGGTCGAAGGAGAATGGCAATAATCGTGCAAGCTAACAGGCGGGCCACAGACAAATAACGGCACAGTACAACAGTTGTGTGCAGAACGCATCTTGTCAATCCTCGTCACGGATGGGCTAGAGCTAAAAACAAGAAGAAGCGATTCCAATGGGCACGCGATCACCAACACTGGACAATTGAGGAGTGATAAAACATCGCCTGGAACATGACAGCGAGTTCAGTTTACTTGAGTGGCCTGCACAGTCCCCAGACCTCAACCCAATAGAGCATGTTTGGGATGAGATGTAACGGGCTGTTGGCAGGATGAATGTACAGTCATCCAATCTGCAGCAACTGCATGATGCCATCACATCAGCATGGACCAACATCCCTGTGGACTGTTTCCGACATCTTGTAGAATGCCCTGAATAATTTAGGCTGTTCTGGAGGCAAAGGGGGTCCGAACAGGTACTAGATGGCTGGTGAGTGTATAGCTACAGGACACTTACAGTAAGGATAGCTGAGGCTTTAAAGTGCAACCTTAGAAACAGCAGGATTAGCGCAAACCTTAGCAATAGTGCAGTTCACACACACACACAGTATGTGAGGGCATATTCCTCATTCCCTCAGGATTGGCCCAGAGGGAGTTTCCTCGTGTTTGTTTTGGATGTCTAGATGAAAGTATTTGTGTGTGTATGTCTTCTTCACTTCTAAATGACTTTGAATTGAATCAATAAACTGCACCCTTTTTTTTTAGCATATACAGCCTACTGCATTTAGTACCTTCTACCTCTTAGTGCATCACCCCGCACAGTGATACATGAAAATGTGTCTAAACCAATCAGATTAGCAAGGTACTCTCTTGCTGCAGACACTGCTGCATTAATTTGTCTGTGTTTCCAAGCCTACTGACATGAAATCCAAAGCTTTCTCATACCATAACAATCTATCACATGCATCTGTTTCTGGCCACCTGCCATTCCTGAATAAAAGAACAGTGTATACAGTGGGGAAAAAAAGTATTTAGTCAGCCACCAATTGTGCAAGTTCTCCCACTTAAAAAGATGAGAGAGGCCTGTAATTTGCATCATAGGTACACGTCAACTATGACAGACAAAATGAGAAAAAAAATCCAGAAAATCACATTGTAGGATTTTTAATGAATTTATTTGCAAATTATGGTGGAAAATAAGTATTTGGTCAATAACAAAAGTTTCTCAATACTTTGTTATATACCCTTTGTTGGCAATGACACAGGTCAAACGTTTTCTGTAAGTCTTCACAAGGTTTTCACACACTGTTGCTGGTATTTTGGCCCATTCCTCCATGCAGATCTCCTCTAGAGCAGTGATGTTTTGGGGCTGTCGCTGGGCAACACGGACTTTCAACTCCCTCCAAAGATTTTCTATGGGGTTGAGATCTGGAGACTGGCTAGGCCACTCCAGGACCTTGAAATGCTTTTTACGAAGCCACTCCTTCGTTGCCCGGGCGGTGTGTTTGGGATCATTGTCATGCTGAAAGACCCAGCCACGTTTCATCTTTAATGCCCTTGCTGATGGAAGGAGGTTTTCACTCAAAATCTCACGATACATGGCCCCATTCATTCTTTCCTTTACACGGATCAGTCGTCCTGGTCCCTTTGCAGAAAAACAGCCCCAAAGCATGATGTTTCCACCCCCATGCTTCACAGTAGGTATGGTGTTCTTTGGATGCAACTCAGCATTCTTTGTCCTCCAAACACGACGAGTTGAGTTTTTACCAAAAAGTTATATTTTGGTTTCATCTGACCATATGACATTCTCCCAATCCTCTTCTGGATCATCCAAATGCACTCTAGCAAACTTCAGACGGGCCTGGACATGTACTGGCTTAAGCAGGGGGACACGTCTGGCACTGCAGGATTTGAGTCCCTGGCGGCGTAGTGTGTTACTGATGGTAGGCTTTGTTACTTTGGTCCCAGCTCTCTGCAGGTCATTCACTAGGTCCCCCCGTGTGGTTCTGGGATTTTTGCTCACCGTTCTTGTGATCATTTTGACCCCACGGGGTGAGATCTTGCGTGGAGCCCCAGATCGAGGGAGATTATCAGTGGTCTTGTATGTCTTCCATTTCCTAATAATTGCTCCCACAGTTGATTTCTTCAAACCAAGCTGCTTACCTATTGCAGATTCAGTCTTCCCAGCCTGGTGCAGGTCTACAATTTTGTTTCTGGTGTCCTTTGACAGCTCTTTGGTCTTGGCCATAGTGGAGTTTGGAGTGTGACTGTTTGAGGTTGTGGACAGGTGTCTTTTATACTGATAACAAGTTCAAACAGGTGCCATTAATACAGGTAACGAGTGGAGGACAGAGGAGCCTCTTAAAGAAGAAGCTACAGGTCTGTGAGAGCCAGAAATCTTGCTTGTTTGTAGGTGACCAAATACTTATTTTCCACCATAATTTGCAAATAAATCCTACAATGTGATTTTGTGGATTTTCTTTCTTCTCAATTTGTCTGTCATAGTTGACGTGTACCTATGATGAAAATTACAGGCCTCTCTCATCTTTTTAAGTGGGAGAACTTGCACAATTGGTGGCTGACTAAATACTTTTTTCCCCCACTGTATCTATTGGAACACCAGGGTGGGGGAATGTACTGTATATATTTTGTGTACTATAAGTATATACATAGAAACTCAGGACAGAGAATGTGCTCACTGTACATATACAAGCTTTGATTATCATATGTCAGCTTTGATTACTGGTCAGCAAATAGCGGTCAGAAAATATAAAATCAAGGTCAGAAAAGATCAGTTGTTATGTAAACATGTGTATTGACTGAGCATGGCATTTTGCTGATAACTTTGTGAGTGCTGCTTCAACCTTCAGCACTACGCCACCTATTGTTGTGAAATAAGCATTATCATGCAGCATCTGGTGAACTAGTACAGCTTCTAGTACCAAAACGGTTTGTGTAGCATAGAAAATAAAACTGCCTGGTTTACAAATTAGCTGCCATTTATTGTTTCAGAATTTCGAGTTAAGTAAAATCTTCTTTCATAACAAACTTAGCAGAGAAGATTGGGATATAACATGGATATAAAAGTTTTACAAAACATAACTTTTTAAAACTACATACAAACTACATAAAACAACAACATAACATTAAAATGGGTGTCTTAAACCTTCATTTTATATCTTCAAAGTTCTTTAGCATTTCTATAAATGGATAAAAACCCTCTAAGAAAGTATACTTGTGCAGACTCTATGATGGGGAAAGGTTGGTGTTAGGAGAAAATGTTGGCTTAAGAAGGACATACTTCTCTCTCCATAACACCACCACACTTAAGAGCCATTTAAAACTATTGCAGGTTTGAACTGTGCAACCTGCTTCTTCTGTTGAGATTCTTGTTAAGTCAGGAACTGACTGGATCCTGGGTTATTTTGAAGATTCATGTGTCGAGTTAAGATCATTTCAGGTCATGTATACAAGAAAATGGACCTAAGAAAAACAGCACATTCTCTCAGCTTTGGAGTGTCTCTCAGTTCTGGAGTATCACATATATTTTCCCAGGACTCTTGGGTCCTAGGCATACTCAATGCTCTGTCATTGTTGTTTTTCAAAGTATCAGTAAATGGCCTCATCCATGTTGTCATCACTGTCCCCTCCGAACTCCTCTCCATTGTCAAAGTACGACATGATATAGTCTGTCTCCTGAGGGGACACATTCAGAGAGGGAAAAATAGCTACGTATGAGCTCATTCGACCTTGTGAAATGTGTTTGCAACGCTAACTTTCTGTTAAATCTGCATTGGTGTCAATGGAAAATGTATGGGGAAAATTGTCTCTAGTAAGGATTCAAGTCAAAGTGATATTCTCTCACTGAGGTTGTGGGGGGAATGGGACCAGATGAAAAAAGTAAGAAAGAGCTTGGATGTGTAACAGTTTTGCGGCCGTCCCTCTCCTTGCCCTAACCTGGGCTCGAACCAGGGACCATCTGAACGCATCAACAACTGTCACCCATGAAGCATCGTTACCTGTCACTGCGGCGCAATGGAAACAACTACTTCAGTTCTCAGAGTGGGTGACGTCACCGATTGAACGCTACAAGCACACACCGCTTACTAGCTAGCCATTTAACATTGGCTACAGATGCTTACCTCTTCAAACTCCTCTTCATCATACTCCTCCTCCCCATCTTGCTGCTCTTCCGCCTGCTTCTTCTTCTCCCCTTCCTCTTCATCTGAGGTCACTTCCTCCTCTTTCTTCTCCAATGTCTGAAAGATGACACAAATGAATACAAAAGAAACTAAAAGAAAAAGAACATTGATGGTAAAATAATACACCAGGCTTACATTAAGTTTGAGGTTTAAGAGCAAGAAACATTTCCCTTCATCTAGTGTGCTGAGATTGAGTAGTGTTACATGCCTATAGATGCGGTAAAAAGGTCAATAGAACGCAGACTATGGAGTTTGTGTCTGATGTACTGACTGAGTGCATACTATTCCCACCTCTAGTTTATGGATGATCTCCTCTTTGTCCACCCGGGTCTTTTTGCTGGGTTTGGGGTCCACTGGTGTCTCCACACTAAGAGAGGTGTCTGTAACAGAGGAAAAGGGACAAAAGTCAATCATTAGGGAAAACCAACTCCCTCTATCTATTCCCCCTCCTCTCCTTTCATTTAAAAGGCCATTCAACCAAAAGCTATATTTAGCCCGTAATAGAAAAGGGCAGATCATTTCTGTATAAGTCAGGCAGTATTGTCATTGTCAGTAACCAGCAGTGACTTTATCGTATCCTTCTGTTCAAAGCAGAAGGGCAAATTGATGCATTCATGTCTCTAGAGACACAAGCAGTCAGACACAGTGTTCTTCTGAAGACACCTCTCTCTTCGGCACTCTGCCCAGCCAATAGGACGGAAAAAAGCATGTGGGAGCAATATGCTATGAAAGGGACTGGTCATTCGCCAGCAACATACATGTCAACAAGTCCTGCAGGAAACAAACTAAACAGAACTGCAAAATGAATGGATTCTTTATTATTTTTTTATTATTACAATAGCTTTCTGTGATCACATGGTGGGTGGGCTTTCATAGTGAATCTGTATAACTCACAGAAATGTCCAGTCAGTCAATGTGAGGTATAAAACAACACTGTATCATCCACTTACTCTCTTTTAGGGGCTTCTTGACACGGATTCGAAGCTCTTTGGGTAGCCTTTTCCAGTCTGACGTTATAAAACAAAATTCAAATCAAACAAAATCAATCAGCAGACACACAGGTGATACAATACTGTTTTTATACAGCAATGACCTTGTCAAAATGATGGAATGTTGGTTCACATCCGGTAAAGCTGAGGGACTAAAACCTCATGTTGTTTTCCCAATCAGCCTCTATTCAGCAGACCCTAATTGTGAGCAACAGCTCAATTTCTCCCATTTGACACACTTTGGGTCAACTGACAATTTCAATCAGGACTGTTCACACTCCATTGTGGCTGACATCTCTGGGACGGTGTGGCGAGTGATTTCATGCTGCTTCAGGATTAGATCATTGATTCTATTAATCTCTGTTTAACAGTGTTATGCTGGTAATCAGATCATACAATGCACTCCTTCTGATACGTGTTCCGTAGTTTCTATCTCCTTTCAGTTACATTTTTTGAACTGGAGGTATGATGCAGCTGACCCACCTGGATTCCACTCAATGGTGTTGTCTAACGGCTCACTGTTCTGGTATTTATCAGAATACCGCTCCACATCTGGAAGTCAGACAAGAAGCTCATTCATTTCTTAAACATGGTACAAGAACAAACATGTCTTTGAAAATAAAGCCTCTGTGTATTATCATGGCGGTGTTAGAGGAAGGCCCAAAAAATGGTCAAAGACTCCCAAGTCAAATCAAATCAAATCAAATCAAATTTGATTGGTCACATGCGCCGAATACAACAGGTGCAGACATTACAGTGAAATGCTTACTTACAGCCCTTAACCAACAGTGCATTTATTTTAAACAAAAAAAGTAAGAATAAAACAACAACAAAAAAGTGTTGAGAAAAAAAGAGCAGAAGTAAAATAAAGTGACAGTAGGGAGGCTATATATACAGGGGGGTACCGTTGCAGAGTCAATGTGCGGGGGCACCGGCTAGTTGAGGTAGTTGAGGTAATATGTACATGTGGGTAGAGTTAAAGTGACTATGCATAAATACTTAACAGAGTAGCAGCAGCGTAAAAAGGATGGGGTGGGGGGGCAGTGCAAATAGTCCGGGTAGCCATGATTAGCTGTTCAGGAGTCTTATGGCTTGGGGGTAGAAGCTGTTGAGAAGTCTTTTGGACCTAGACTTGGCACTCCGGTACCGCTTGCCGTGCGGTAGCAGAGAGAACAGTCTATGACTAGGGTGGCTGGAGTCTTTGACAATTTTGAGGGCCTTCCTCTGACACCGCCTGGTATAGAGGTCCTGAATGGCAGGGAGCTTTGCCCCAGTGATGTACTGGGCCGTACGCACTACCCTCTGTAGTGCCTTGCGGTCAGAGGCCAAGCAGTTGCCATACCAGGCGGTGATGCAACCAGTCAGGATGCTCTCGATGGTGCAGCTGTAGAATTTTTTGAGGATCTGAGGACCCATGCCAAATCTTTTTAGTCTCCTGAGGGGGAATAGGCTTTGTCGTGCCCTCTTCACGACTGTCTTGGTGTGTTTGGACCATGATAGTTCGTTGGTGATGTGGACACCAAGGAACTTGAAGCTCTCAACCTGTTCCACTACAGCCCCGTCGATGAGAATGGGGGCGTGCTCAGTCCTCTTTTTTTTCCTGTAGTCCACAATCATCTCCTTTGTCTTGGTCACGTTGAGGGAGAGGTTGTTGTCCTGGCACCACACGGCCAGATCTCTGACCTCCTCCCTATAGGCTGTCTCATCGTTGTCGGTGATCAGGCCTACCACTGTTGTGTCGTCGGCAAACTTAATGATGGTGTTGGAGTCGTGCCTGGCCATGCAGTCATGGGTGAACAGAGAGTACAGGAGGGGACTGAGCACGCACCCCTGAGGGGCCCCCGTGTTGAGGATCAGTGTGGCAGATGTGTTGTTACCTACCCTTACCACCTGGGGGCGGCCCGTCAGGAAGTCCAGGATCCAGTTGCAGAGGGAGGTGTTTAGTCCCAGGATCCTTAGCTTAGTGATGAGCTTAGAGGGCACTATGGTGTTGAATGCTGAGCTGTAGTCAATGAATAGCATTCTCACGTAGGTGTTCCTCTTGTCCAGGTGGGAAAGGGCAGTGTGGAGTGCGATAGAGATTGCATCATCTGTGGATCTGTTGGGGCGGTATGCAAATTGGAGTGGGTCTAGGGTTTCTGGGATTATGCTGTTGATGTGAGCCATGACCAGTCTTTCAAAGCACTTCATGGCTACAGACGTCAGTGCTACGGGTCGGTAGTCATTTAGGCAGGTTATCTTAGAGTTCTTGGGCACGGGGACTATGGTGGTCTGCTTGAAACATGTTGGTATTACAGACTCAGTCAGGGACATGTTGAAAATGTCAGTGAAGACACTTGCCAGTTGGTCAGCACATGCTCGGAATACACGTCCTGGTAATCCGTCTGGCCCAGCGGCCTTGTGAATGTTGACCTGCTTAAAAGTCTTACTCACATCGGCTACGGAGAGCGTGATCACATAGTCATCCGGAACAGCTGGTGCTCTCATGCATGCTTCAGTGTTGCTTGCCTCGAAGCGAGCATAGAAGTGGTTTAGCTCGTCTGGTAGGCTTGTGTCACTGGGCAGCTCGCGGCTGTGCTTCCCTTTGTAGTCTGTAATAGTTTTCAAGCCCTGCCACATAGACTGTTCTCTCTGCTACTGCACGGCAAGCGGTACCGGAGCACCAAGTCTAGGTCCAAAAGGCTCCTTAATAGCTTCTACCCCCAAGCCATAAGACTGCTGAACAATTAATCAAATGGCCACATGGACTATTTACATTGTCCCCCCCCCCCCTTTGTTTTTACACTGCTGCTGCTACTCACTGTTTATTATCTATGCATAGTCACTTTACCCCTTCCTACATGTACAAATTACCTCGACTAACCTGTATCCCTGCACATTGACTCGGTACCGGTACCCCCTGTATATAGCCTCGTTATTATTATGTAATCTTAGTGTTACTTTTATTGTATTTTTTACTTTAGTTTATTTAGCTAATATTTTCTTAACTCTATTTCTTGAACTGCATTGTTGGTTAAGGGCTTGTAAGTAAGCATTTCACGTTAAGGTCTACACCTGTTGTATTCGGCATGTGACAAATAAAACTGGATTTGATTGGATGTCTGCTCATTGTTTGCTGCTCCCAAATGTTCTTATCGAAGCATAATTAAATGCTTGATTGAATAATTGAACAATATTTCAACCCCTGATTTAGGTCATGTCAACTAAACCTGGTATCACCTTGTTTAATTTTAATAAAATAACACCATTGGGAGCTGCTGACAGTGACAAGACATTGACTGTCTAATTTGTGCTAGGTTTGTATGTCTGTAATTACTATTTTAATCGCTAACACACAGAAGCGTGTCTTCCCAGGCTTAGGTACCTTTCTTGGAGACGGCTGGAAGGACATAAAATGGTAGGATCTTCATGGCTCCCCTGAACTCCTGCTTCAGTGCCAACATGTACTCTGCTTCCTCTCCCATCACCAAGGGGACAGGCTTGTGTTCCATGGGCTACATGTGCACAAAAAACATTACACATATTAGGCTAGTCCTAAAAACGACAAGAAAATGCTCAATGCATGCTTTCCCAATAGAGCATGCTCTTCTTTGCTCCCAACCAAACACATATCCTACGGCCTCAACACGTTTAAACAAAAAATGTGTCAGCCCTGGATGTTGCTTCGACAAAGAGAATAGCCTCTAAATAAAACAAATATTTGACAACAATTAGGTGAATCCAAAATGAAGAGAGACAGCTACAGGGTCAGTCACATCACCCCTTACTCACAGGGAACAGAGGTGTAGGCTGGAGAATTGAAGGGGGCAGGTTCTCCCCTTTCCCAATACCGACTGCCTCGATACTGAAGCTCATGTACCCCTTGCCACGACCTCGGCCGCGGCCCAGGCCAGCCATGGAGCGAGCTCACAGTGGGGGGGTTCACAGGTAAATCTGTCAAGGGAGGGAGAATGCAATGGGCACTAAAAGAGTGAAAGGCAGTGAGTAATAGCACTTCTATTTTCCCCAAACAATTTGTGTAAAGCTATGAAAGCTTACTTTTACTCCTGGCCCATTTATGATCACCTATATTGCTGTTCACTGTAATATAACAATAACCCTAACCCTATTAGCTCTAGCTAACGAACAGTGAATAACAGAGAGGTCACATAGCCAGGGCTAAACAAGAACAGGTATAGCTACAACACAACCAAAGGACAAAAAAACTTTGTGAAGCGGAGCAATGGCTAATGCGTTACGGAAAGAGGAAAGGGGATACCAAGTCAGTTGCACAACTGAATGCATTCAACTGAATGTGTCTTCTGCATTTAACCCAACCCCTCTGAATCAGAGAGGTGTGAGGGGCGTTAAAGAGGCAATCTGTGATTGCTACATCTATTTCGGACTGTTAAATTAGTGATATATACCCATTGATTCTTGAAGAATGTAACTTATAAATGCCTCCTGAGCTAAGTTCAACTGTCATACCCCATCACAATCCAAATTATAAGCTTTTTTACTCCATTGTTTGTAAACAAACACTGTGTAGACTCAAAACAGAAAACATGGTTAAAACTATTGTTTTTGTCTCATAGATGGTCAGTCCATGCATCCATAGCTCGGTCTATGAATTCGAGAGTGGTTACATTTTTCCAGCCCCATCCTCCTAGTCTGGGTACCAGTTTGGAACTCTAGCACTTTTAAGGAGTGGAATATAGCCAGAGATATGGATATAATGACGAGATGCTTGTCTCCACCCTAACAATGGGATTTGTTGTCCACAGAGTGGAATGGTGGGCTGTCAACTCCCGCCTATTCTTCTCTTTGGATTGGTGGATACATCTTGTTATTTGAATAATTTTTTTTATATATTCGATGAGGGGTGTTGACATCAACCACCTGTATTCAATGGAGAGTGAGATGCTATGCTAGCCTCATGAATATGCATAGTCCGTCTCGAATTTCAACAGAGAAGTGCGTCACACTTTTATCAGTACACTCGTAACAACCTAAACATTACAAAACTTATTTTAGATTAAACAAGCCTCATGTATCAAAATAGCAATTCATATTTATCTTGACTAAATTCTACACTCTCTCATTTCCCCCCCATTCAGAAACTCCTCACCTGCTTAATAATTAAGGATTTGCTTAAGTGGACAGATTTTGGGCAGAGATAGGGCTCTCTGGTACCCAGGCCACCATCCTCCAGCTGCGTCCCAAATCAACGGCAGGTGTCGCAGGAAGGCCAAGAAGATCATCAGGGACCCCAGCCACCCAAGCCATGCCCTGTTCTCCCCGCTTCAATCACTCAGACACGGGCAGTACAGGAGCATCATGGCAAAAACTGGAAGACTGGCAAATAGTTTCTAGCCACCACTAGTCAGCTACCCCCCCCCCCAACAGACTTTTACTCTGCCCCCACCCCAACAACATGTATCACTGACGCAGTTGTTAATATGTATATTATAGATTTTTTTTATTGATTATAATTTTGATTGTTTTTATTTCACTTGGTCCACACACCCCCTCAATGGTCATGCTGCTCCCCCTATGGTCATCACCCCCCCCCCACCCATCAACAGTCTTTAGTCTGCCTCCACCCATATGGATATTTATTTATTAATCACTGCTACAGTCATGATGTATATAGTGCTATTTCTATTAATATTGTTGTTGTTTTTTATTACCATTTTCATTATTTTATTTCACTTAGTCCTGCATGTTGGAGCTCTGAGCCTAAGATTTTCACTGTACTCTGCAATCACACCTGCAACCCTGTACATGTGAATATTAAACACTCAATCTCTGAATGGCGGGGTCCTGCTTTGTTGTTGTTTGAAACGCAGATTGCACCTTTAACAGCTACCAGCTAGCTACCTATCTAGTTGTGTGCGGCTTGCTAAGTCTTGTTCCACCTTACCTTCTAGTGACTTCAGTGATATTAACTTGTTTGCTTAGATAACTTGGTTGCACAGTAGCTACATTACAGCTGTAGCTAGTAAGAATTTGCTAGAAAATAACTAGCGCCTACTAGCTAGTTAGCTAGATAACGACGTTAGGAAACGTTAGCTAGAGCTGTCAGATTTCTCATGACAAAATATCGTTCACCCAGACAACGCGCTTACTAACTAACCATATCAACTTATTCACGACCTCCCACCTTCTGAACCATAGCTACTAATCTTCAAATAGAAAAAAAATAAAAACATGATCAAGCTAGCTGGTTTACAAATCCGCGGGCGACGTTATTGTTTACAAATCACTATGTTGTTTACATCTTGCGGAACTCTGGTGATATGGGGTCGACTAGCCTGCCCTACACTGCCCCCTGCTGTATTGGAGTTGAAGACGTTCCAGAACCTCTGAAAAGAGATACAGTATCTCCCCCAAAAGATGGTCACATACTTTTTTTGGCCATCTGAGAGATCAATACCTGTCTGTGTAAGTGAGTGTGTGTGTGTGTGTGTGTGTGTGTGTGTGCGCTGTACTATACTTTCATTTAGATGAGCGTAGATTAAAACTGAATGTCAAGGCTAAATTGGCTAAAATTAAATAATCCAATGAGAATTAAGGTTTGAGCCACCAAGTAGGAACCTCCAAGGGGAGTGAGTGTGATACAACATACAGAAGCTACATTTGCTTCCTGGTGTGGGAGCTGGGTTGGCATGCAATGGCTGAAAATACTTAATTTTGCTGACATTGTAAAGGTGGTTTGTCTTGGTCTGGCTATTACCACATCCTGGTGAAGTTGATTCTTAATCGTTGTTCTTGTTTCTATCTATTTGAGGAGGATAAATAAGCCTTTGACCAAGTCACCCTAAGCCATCTACCATCTCAAAGCACTTGGTTATGATTCCCCTCCCATCTGGGGGTTCAGTGGATAGGAGCACAATCACTCTGATGGAACCTTACAGCTGTGTATGTGTGTGTGTGTGTGTGTGTGTGTGTGTGTGTGTGTGTGTGTGTGTGTGCATGTGTGTCAGTCTGTCTGTGTGTCTGTATCTGTATGCCTGCCTGCATGCAGCGTGTGTCTGTGAGCTTGCGTGCATGGATATGTGCGTGCCTGCCTCTGTGAGTGTGTCACCGTGGGAACGTTTCTGTAGGAATCCAGCAAATCAGTTGCCATAGCAACTGTGTTCCATAATAGCAACAGTCGCTGAATAAGTATTTTATGCACTCGGGGAGTACAAGTATTTCCTCCTCTCCATCTTTAGTAATGCAAGCTTCTTATTTATTTTGAGCTTTTGAGATGGCCTACCCTTATCTTTTTCAGATAAAACTTTAATGTGTGTTTCAGTTTAATATACTATTTATAACACCAAGTGAGACCAGACTTGTGAAACAAAGTTAGGCTACTTCTTCAATTGTGTGTATTAGGCTATATGCTCACAACGCTCTCACATTCACCGTTAGGCATGCCTACCTGTTGTATATATCTGACTTTGCATTGAAACAATATCTAATCTATAAAGCAGGTGACTAATTATGGGCTACCACCAAGGATAGGTGGGCCACCTCCTTCCTCTGCACATTTTGCAATGACTGAACTATTATGACCTTAAATAATCAGGAACTCATATGGCAACAAGATGGGGCCCTGGTGCAGATTAGTTTTAGCTGTGATCACAAGTGGTGTGCTTACTGCAAAGGTGCAAAACACCTTACTGCAGAGGTGCGTAAAGACATAGAGGACTACAGAATTAGCCTATATAAATCTAAATCAAATCAAATTTTATTGGTCACATACACATATTTAGCAGATGTTATTGCGGGTGTAGCAAAATCTATGCCAACCAAGCCATTGAGCCCTGTATAAATTCTTTATTTTCCCTTGAGGTTACAGGAGAGGCATAGTGTCATAAGCACAGAACAGACAATATTGGGTCCATACTTGCAGCTCAATCAGGTATAAATATAGCCTATCCTTTGTTGACATTTCTTATAAGAGGCTACAAGACACCAAAGACAGTGTATAGGCTACTGTTTGAGTGAACAACAGTCTCGCTCTCTCTCTGGTTTCTTTCTCCGTCTGTCAAGCGCAGGGATCATTATAGCGCATCGCCTGCGCGCAACATATCCACCGCGTTTCTATTCACTCCCACCACGCGACCCACTCCCCACCCCCGCTGCGACGCTCCGCGTCTTCTAAACTAGTGGTCGCTGGAGAGATACGGGGGAAGTGGGGGAGGGGGAGAGAGGCTCGACGATACCACAATATCTGGGGAATATTACAGAGACTAAAGTCTGGCTTTTATATCAGAAAAAACATATGCCAAATGGATCTGAATCAAACGCGTTTCATCCATGGTAAGGATTTATGTTTCCTCCTTAAATTGTGTTTGCAGTGCATGGTGGTAGAAGGCTACATTTTCATATTGTAGATTATGTAAATATTTGTTGCCATTAAATTATTCCCTACGAGTGGTTAATGCAATGACTAAAAGCTTGACAAAGAAATATCGACATGAACTGAGAACAGTGTTTAAGTAGCCCATGTGAAAACAAAAAACAAGTTGAATTTGATGAAAGACCAACAATTTTAAAAAAATGCAATTCAACTGAACTTATTCAGATTTTCCAATTCATTGTTTCTTACCATATTTGTGTAAGAGGTAAGAGATGCTCTATAGTCTGAATCCCGCAGAGCAATGAACGCGATTCGTTTGGCAGTTGCAATCAGATTTGTTGAGCCTCGCTATATGCAAATACTAATCAATAAACTGCTACAAAAAGCAAATAGATTCAGCTGATTCAGAATTGCTGTCACTATTTTTTCCCTATTATAAGCAGCACCTTTCTTGGCTGAGAGGCAACCCCTGTAACCTAAATCATGAACCAATCTGCATTGTCATGAAATTCTGTCACTTGGCTTATTGCGGTCCTATAAGATCAGATGCAGCCGTATGATGAAATGTGTCAAAAAGAGAAGCAGATAGTCCGTCACATTTTATGTGTGTGAGAAAGGCAATACATGCAGTGATGTAACGTAGGTCGTATTTTATTATCTCTGCTTTACTAATGCATAGGCTAGGCTACATTCAGTGTGGAGAAACATGTTGTTTTCTATCAACCGACTGTTGAAACGGTTGTTTCTTTTTACTGGCGCAGTTACTGTTTTTGTCCAATTACCTGGAATAGTATAACTTCCCTGCTGGTTTAATATTAGAAGCAATATGTCAGAAAACCAATTGACGTAGTGATTGGTCAGCGAAACAGCACTAACTTGAATTGAAAGCATGAATTCCTTTACATTGCTTTTCTCAGTTCTAGGAAGGTTGGCGTCGGCAGAACGACCGAATCAGCACCATGGACAGCGACCGTAGTTTGGAATGGATTTAAATTAGTTTCTTGCAACATTTCACAGAAGAGTTTCGCTGAATCTTTTGCTATTAGGACTATATGATATTGTAGAATTGTATACATATACATACACTTAATTAAGCTTCTTGGAAACAATAATATGAAACGTCTGGGAACGATGCTTCCTTGTATTACGAATTTACATTCTACGCAGAAACTTCCCTTGTAATTCATGTTCCAGTGAATAATCATTATACTGCTGCATTAAATATATCTTTAAATGTATTTCACATAGAGATTTTGATTAATAGCATATGTACTGTAGCAATTAGATGTATAGCTACTGAAATATGAGTTTTGTCAATGTTACAGAGAGCACTGCAGTATCTACTCAGAAACAGTAGGTTCACTAAGGGACAAGGGCATAAGACAACTATGACACAAGGATGGCTTCTCACGGGCTTCCTATGCAGGACAGGAAAGGTTAGGTGTAGGTCACATCCACCCCCACAAACCTGGAATTATGAATAATCTGTCTAGAGGGCCAATGGACGGCACTGTCAGAGCTGTATGCCATCACATCTCTCTTTCCAACAGGAACTGTGGCACATTCTGACATGCACAGCTCACCTGAGATGGCATAGCAGGATGGCAGATCAGGGGGTACAACGGTGCCAATTATAGTAATGGGTGTTGGGGTAATGTCAGTTCTTGACACGGTGCAGCTGCATACCAGGGGACAGACATATCATAGGAGGAATATTATATTCTACTCTATTGGACTCAGTCTCTGCCATGAGACTGTGTGTCTTCTGAGAGCAGATGACTTTGGCTGATAATGAGTCAGTGAGCTGATAGTGAAGGAGAGAGAGAAAGAGAGAGAGAAAGAGAGAGAGAAAGAGAGAGAGAGAGAGAGAGAGAGGGGAGAGAGAGAGAGAGAGAGCGCGAGAGAGAGAGAGACATAGAGAGAGAGAGAAAGAGAGAGAGAGCAAGAGCGAGAGAGATAGTGTGTGAGAAAGAGGGCTGATGATGAACGACAAGCTCTTTGGGGTTGGGATGTGGGGAATTTCAATAATGTTGCCTACCTACATGTACAAATACACACACACACACACACACACACAGATGGATGTACATGTACTCACGCATACGTTTTTACACACTAAGACACGCATCCATGCATGAAGTCAGACGCACACTCCGTTGTAGAAACCCAGAAAGACCCAGCCTTGAGAAGTTACATTTGCTCCAGAGTCACACAGATCAATGTGTGTAAGCCAAACAACAGAGAGGTTATGAGCTGAAAGTCAGAGAGGAAGAGCAATAATGAAGAGACCTGTCGAGAGATGGGGAAAGAAATTGGTATGGAAAAGCACAGACTCTGATATATTAAGGACTAAAGACTAGGCCTTGGACAAAAAGGATAGCAATCTACTCAACAGACTGAGTAGCCTGAAATACGTTTTAAGAGGGATACCAATAAATAAACAACACTAGGGAACATTATTCAATCGAACAGGGTGACAGGGCAAGTCAAAACCATTACTCCATTCTGCTATTAAAAAATGGCACGTTTGGAGTTACTGCAGACCTTTTGTAGGTACTCAACACAATAACAGTATGAAACAAAAAATAAATCAACTGCATATCAATTACATTTTGCTGTTGTGCTGTGCATGAAAGGTGTTGTTTTTGCCAATAGATGATCAAGATTTAATGTGCGAACAATATGAGGTTTAGTGGATTAGTGTATGCCCTATCTACCTAGATTAATACGTCCATTGCAGCTGCAGTGATAGATAGCAGCTAGGATGATAAATGTCATTCTATAGCTGAAACTACCCAGCCAGAAATAGCTTCTACTGCCTCCCTTCTCAGAGTGGGAGTGCGAAGTGAGGAGTCTGGTTGGCAAATTGCGGGTGGATCGATGTCAACCCCCCTGTCGCTCCTCTCCACAGCCCAGAGCCTGGCATGTTATAGAAGGGTCCATCCAAAC